TGTGGTTGGTCAACGATCCTTAACTTAGCACGCGGCAAATCCGGGCCATGTCACAGAAGGAGGAGCGCCCGGCGACAGCCGGGCGATCCGACTGGTATGCTATAAATCACTTTCAAAGTGTGTGAACGACTGAATGTACTTAATTTGCCTTCAAATTTATTTCAGTGCACTTACAAGGGTTAAATGATACGGTATGGTACAAAGGATTCGTTATACAACCATTCGAATGGAACAATGGTCAACTTGGACAAAGGTAAGCGTTTGTTGCGATGACAGGGAGTCTTCCAGGCCGTGTAGCCCATTTCCAAAACGGTTAGTTGCATGTTGTAGGGGTTCATAAGAGGACCACGAAGGAGTGGTTCATCTTCGCTGCGCGCCTCCGCCTCTAGGAAAGTCAAGGAAAGGCTGCACCACAGGTTAATGGCTCGGATCCCCTAAATGACAAAGTTTTGCGTTCCCGCAATTTTCGTTTTAATTGGGTCCTTTTGAGTCGAAATCTCTTGTCTTAGCAGGAGCGTGTCCAGAAACACCTGAATGTTCTGTCCAAAACAATTATGTGCTTTCTATCGTCGAGTTCTTGGTGAAGCCATAGAACATGTTTTCGCCTGGGCCTGTTGTTGGCGATCCAGGAGCGCGCAACGGATATGAACGTCGTGGTACATTGTGGTTTATGGGTCTCATGAACATGCCAAAAACCATTTTCAACTTGGCTCCACGACTTGAAAGACTCCCCTTGTGAGCTCGTGGATATTCTGCGTTGTGTACCCAGTCTGTTCGTGTATTCATGATGGAAGACGGACTTTAAGAGCACGCGGTGTCGTGTGCGGCAATTTGCAAACGCCGCGTTCGTGCGATGGAGCGCACGTTCGCGATAAACCGCCGCGTCATTGCAAGTCACAATGCTTTCTCGACAGCATACTCTCCGAAACTGTATACAGGGGGGGGGGGCAAAAAAAAGTCATTTTGCCTCCATGACTTTCAAGGCGCTATAAGTTACACTTTATTAAATTTTTATCGGACATTTTTACTACCATATTAAAGAGCACATTAAATACTATAATGATACTCCGCCACAGCCTTCTGGAGGAGCGCCATCGAGAGATTCGGCCGCGCGAAAGTGAGTGGGTACCGGAGTTGAGCGAGATCGTTGATTTCTCCGCCACTGTAGACCACCCTGTTGAGCTCCGCCCGAACCGAGTAATTGAGGGGGTTTAGTTCAGGACCCCTGCTGCTTTAAAGTACTACCATCTTGCCAGGTACTGGCACTCTCCATTCATAAGTAGGTCTCAAGGTTTTTCCAACGCCCTTCGATTCCATGTGGTGACACCCAATGCTGTAGCAGTACAAATATTTGCAAGAAGGTACGGGCGACGACATGTAAGATGGGATATTCTCCTCAGACTTGTCGATGTACCATCCAGCGCAACACGCCCTTTCATCTGGGGCCGCACGCCAGAATAAGATAGATTCATCCATCCAGGTAGGCCCGGTCCACACCCATCAACAATACCGCGTCCTTGGTGAATGGGTGAAGAATATGTTCCGGAACCGTAACGACGTTTGGCCGGAGTGCCGATGCCTCGATAGTTTGAGGTGTGCAGATTCAAGAGTACCGGTCTCTCAGGTCGCTATCCAGGTGACTCCATTCAAGAAGTTCCGCAGCTGTTTGGAGGCCACGTGAATTCCAAAGGCGTTCTCCACTCAGGCCGCGACTGGAGATGACTTCATATTTTGGTGTACATGAAGGTGAATGGCGGCAGCCGGCTCCTGCTTATAGAGGAAGACTGGGATCATCCGCCCTGGTCGCTCTATCCACTTCTTGTCTGGCTGGCGAAAAGTTCGGCTCATTCGACGTGACTACGGCGAATGCTTTTTGGGCCCCCCTGTAATACTGGTCGTACTGATCAGGTATGAACGGGAACAAAATTGTAGCGGAAATGTCGCTGTGGGACAACGATGGAAACCATGAGAGCGCGGCCGCTCAATCGTTATTTATTGCGCGCGACGCCGCGTGGCCCTCCCGTCACCTACCCGTTCCATGATGTTGCCTGACGTACTGAACGTATGTGTCTCTTACTGGTCGGCATTGACAATCTTTAAAATCTCTCTATGGCTTGTTGTAACACCCTACTGCACTGGAAAGATCTATCCTTTTCTGTAAGCAGGCCAAACTCTGAAAAAGTCATTTCCAGAATGGGACAATTAATGCGCCTTGACGACAATGGCTCATGTGCAAGCAGCAAGTTTCAGGTATTATTTTTCAGCTCTAGTTTCTGTGCAGCAAAATTGATTAGCTATCGACTCCAAGATTCAAAAACTCTGCTACACATTCTCACGATGAGAAGAAGAAGCATATACGATTGTGGTGGAAGATCGATGAGGACAGTCGGACAGTGCAGTTGTGTAAGATTTTCTTCAGCTTTTTTTCCTCCTGAGCAATGCAATATGACAAGCGTCGCGGTTACCAGCACCTGTCCAAGCGTAACCGCTATGACGCTAGAATAGGGACAGTGCAGAAGTACGAGCTTTGCACCGATGCGATGATAGCGTTGCGAGTATGTTACACACCGCAGGTCACGCTGGCAGGGCGCTATTTTAATTCACACATAGAACTCGCATAGTTTCATCCAATTTGGCGGAAATCCTCTGCTGCTTTTCAGTTTCATAAGTGCCTGTTTAAAGGCAGTTGGCATGGTAAATCCCTAAAGACGAGTAGGATTAATACGACTGGCATGGCAGAATTCCGTGACCCTGAACAGGCGCTGCGTAGCGCCTTTTCCAAGGAGGGTACCCTTATAGCGCCCTATTGAGCAGCAACATACCGACCCGGACGCCCACCTCGCCCGCCCGCCTACCATTGGACGTATAGCATCACAGCACGAGGACGTGCCGTTGTGGACCGCCCGTGCCTACGTGTATGAACCGCCCGTGCCTACGTGTAATGTAGTGTAACGTAGAGCGACGTAGAACGTACTGCTGGCTTTTTGCCAGCAGTAAACGGTTCAATCGGTAGACTCGTCCAAAGCAGCGCCCGCCCCAGCCGTTCGCTCGTCCACTGCCGCAGTGCAGCGAAGAAATAAAGCCCCATTTCGTGGTTTCCCGACCATCTGGCCGCATTTGCATCGCTGCGCATCGCGACAATTCTGAACGCTGCTTTACAGCGCTCATTCAACGTGATGAGCCGATCAGCCGATATCGGCAGTAAACCGCGAGGCTAAGGCTTTTACATGTTCTGAAGTTGTTTTTAATTTGATAACTGCTGCTAAACGCCGCAATGAGCGCTCGCTGTGACATCTCATGAAAGAGTTTCACCTCAGATTCTAGATCCCTTCATAATGCCCTCAATCTCTTCCTTTGAGGGTTCTTTCTTCGCATCTTCTTACCATAAGACCTGTGAATCCAGCGTATGTGGTAAAAATCCAGTAAAAAAATCCGCCGTTCGACCATTTTCGGAAATAGCCCTACCCTGAATGGCAGCAAGGCCGCCTTTATTTTTCATTTTCGCAAACTTTGATTTCAGACTGAACAGTATTTGACGAAAATGCTTTCATTTTCAGAGCTACCGTAGTGAAACACCAGACGATGTTCTGGGTGAAATCCGTGCTATCGCCACCGATTCCGCCATGTCGAGTCTCGAAGAACGGTATCGAGAACTACGAGAAACCGCTGCCGACTCCACCACCACCAGTGAAGCAGTTCAAAATGGATACCAATAGAGTGTTCGGTGGCGATCGTGCAGCACTGCCATCTGTGACACCTGCTCCTGCTCCAGTCCAGGCTCCACCACAACCAGCACCAGCAGCAGTTATTCCAGTGGTTCGTAGTGGTACCGCTACAACATTTAATCGCGGTCGTCCTTCAACTTTCACTCGTAACCGCACAAACCCTCGTAATCGAACTGGGTTCAATCGTCGTCCATTCGGGACGAACAGAACAAGGGGCCGTTTCCCAGCTAGAAGACCTGTCGGATAGGGTCGTTTTCATGGAGCATTTACGTAATATTAATACCATAATTGTAGAAAAATTTCGTAGATAGAGGCAGATTGGGACTGGTAAGCTCTGACGCGCGCGGTCGCATGGCAGTCCATTTCTTTGAATAACCCCGTTTTTCTTTAGACTTGAACAACAAGCAACTTTTAATTCAGGCCAAAACTGCTCGAAGCTGAAAATTATTAGTCAGTGCCGCGTGCGCACGCGTCGCGTCAACACATGCCATTCTTTCAAGGCCTCATGTTGCAATGTGGAATGTTACAATAGCAAAGTGCTAATGGCCAAGCGTAAGCTTTACGTAGCATACAGGGGAAACCTGCAAGAAACTTGTTGGTGGACGGTGAGTGGGATCACTTAACAGTCAATCAAAAAATGGGTGAGCCTTTATTGAAATAAGCATGCCTTCAGCACCACATTAGCCTCTTTCGGGTGTGGTTCAGGAGATTCGAGTCATGGCATCGCGCGCGCGTAAACAATAAATCAATGGTACAAATCCTCTAGGTGATAAAGTTTTGCATTCCTGCAATTTTTATTGTATTGAGTTCCTTTACCGCACTTAGCACAGTTGACGCGAAGTGGCAGTTTGGCGTAAATCGGTTTAGGTCGTGGCAGCCCACATCTTGAACCCATTCATTCCGAGATACAACTCGGAAAAACAATAAAGTAATTGCTTCTGCTTCATTCTTCCAGAGACGTGGTCACTGTCACACCATGTCTATTATTCAACAGTTTCATTCATGAAAGGGCATCCGTTTGTAGAGTGGTCCTCAATGCCTGAGATCGAAGGAAGCGAGGAGCTAATGTACTCGGAGAGCGAAGGGGAGGAAAAGGTGAGACGGGCAAGAGAATCGTAAGTTGCCGCATCGTCGCGCGCGGCAATGGGCGCGGCGTTATCTTATTTGCACTACCTTTCGACTGGAGCATCGGATTTCATGTAGATAAGGACATGGCAGACATTTATGTCTATTTTTGGTCATCCATTGTCCATTCTTGATAGCGGGTGCGACGTCGCACGCGACGCCCGCGCGATTTACGATTCTCTTGCCACTTACCCGCGGTGAACCCAGTTCAGTGAGAATTTGGGCTCAGTTCGGCGACTTTCGCTGCTTCACTGGTTCCGGTTTACAGGTCTCACTCTGGTAAACCAACTGAATTTTTGTGCAGCAGGAGCAAACTCGTCCACTGACACGCTCTTTGAGTGGAATGGAATTGTGGGTGAGGGTGGAATGCGTAGCGCACCACTTGACTGAAAGGCCGTGTGAGCAGTGAGATGGAAATACTCACTTCCATAGCTTGAAAACTCTACCCTGCCAATTTGTAGCAGCATACTCCGCAAGATGATTGAGCTGTAGCAGAATCTCGACGAATGTGAAACGCACAAATCTCGTAATTCCCAATAAGTTTTTGAATTTCCTCTGAACTTTAAATCTCAACGAAGTTATGTCCTCACGACGGGAGACAACTTGCTCGCAAAACGAAGCTTCCTCGCATCCTCAACGGCAGACTTTTTTTGATAATAGCTAGTTACTGGAGCTTTTCTGAGGGATTTAAGTAACATTGAAAAAGGAAAATCTTCGTTTCCGCACCGGTTTTTGTTCTGCTCTGGGTTCTGTATTATCCATGTTATGCTGAAAGGTTTAAAAATCACGTTCCCAACAAACTTTTATCGTTATTTCTCAGGGCGAAGCCGCAACACCCGTTGGTGGTAGTATGGAGTAAGATTGCGCTCAACAAAATTAAAATGCGATGCATATTATGTTGCTCTAAGTGGCCGAGTTTAGCCGAGTAGTCACGTAGAAGCAGGCGTAAAGGGGGGAGGGTAAAACGGGGGAGGACACCTTCCTTTTTGGGAGGGGGATCGTGTCGACGAACCAAATTCTCTCAACGTGATGCTTGACCCTGAATCAGGGTCGCTGCAGTTCAATTATTAGTAACGAAAAATTTCTTCGTGTCTCTGACCGTCTGTGCTCTGAAGCTGATTCAGGGTTAGACAAGGGACCCAGAAACGCTGTAGAGGGGCATCTGCCCTTCCCCGAACACCTCAGCGACGAGCGTAGTTTCTCGAACGTCAAAATTTCTTCGCAGTAAACGGGTCAGGGAGAACGCTGCCATGACCTAATTGATTTCGCTCTAACCATAAGTGCAGTCGTCATCCGGGCAGTTGATTAGGCGGTCGTCGAAGGGTCGCAGACGCGGCTGCAGCAGCGACCGCGTACGTAGGAACTGTTGGCGGCGATCAGCTGTTTCCGGCCTGGTTTAGTCATTTTCTCCCTACTTTTCACTGTTTTTGGCTGCTTTTCTCAAGGTTAGTTGTTCCTTGTCTTCACAAGGTAAATTATGATTGAGATTTCTCTAATTTTTGCGAACAATTAAACAAATATCTGAGAAATCGCAAAAACATTTCATCACACAAAACAGAAAAAAAGAATCATCGTCGCACACAACTTGTTCACGAAAAACAAAAAACAAACCACTACGAAAAAAAATAGGAAACACGTCAAAATACAGAGAAATGGCTAAGCCATCTAGAACAGCTTATCGCCGGCAACAGTTCCCGCGTGAGCGTCCGCTGGCCGCAGCGCGTCTGCGAGCCCTTCACGACCGCAAATCCAATGCTCGTATGAAATCTGTATACTGGCCCCAGTCAGCGCTATAGCATATTTGTGTGTAGTCCAAATCTCGGTACCTCCTGAATGCACCCATTACTTGTCTTTTGCATCCACGCAAAGTTATCTGAAACGGTCCGACCATTATTGATTTCGCAAAATCTGCCACAAGATGGAATTATCTAATTACTGGAAGCAGTTTTGCATGTTTGCACTTTTAGAATTCCGCTCACTAACACCAAATAAGTTCACATTCAGTTTTGTTTTAGCTCAGAACCTAACCTTACTGCCACGATTCAAGCACGTGCTGTACCTGAACAGACACCTTTCTAACCACGATACAGCCTTTTTCGCTGTGGACGCGGGGCGTTTTAGGGGGCTGGGTTTGTCACGGTGCCCAGCCCTTGTTCTCTGCAGATTGTGGAAAGTTGACAGGTTAACGCACAATGATAGAGAACGGGCTGGTCCCGTGGCCTGATCTAGCCCATTAAGACATCCCAGCTCTGTATAGTACCAAAAGTGAACGTGTGAATGAATGCGAATAATGCCTCTGTCGAAATACGCATTTATGCCCTCATTATTGTTCAAGGGTACCTCAGGCCAATGTTAAGTTGTCGGCTGCACAATCACTTCAGTTTTGCTGTGTTTACTCGTCATCCACACCGTAATAAAGTGTTGCTTGCTCACACTCCATTGATCATTAGTTATTGACTTCACCTGAGTTTTTCTTCGTTCAATTTCAGTTCAGGTCTTTTTGAACAGGAATGAAGCATCAAAGCCAGAGAACGACCGAGCATTTTCGACAGTGTAAATAAAAGTTACGAAAAGTGCATGAATTGACTATAAAGTGAGCTGAAGCGAAGCCACATCCGCCACTCCAATATGCTTCGTTTATACTCAATGAGTAGGCGATTTAGCTGCTCACTCGAAACATAAACAGTCGTCTGCAACTTATCTAGTATAATTGCATGTACTAAGTAGTGCCAAATGGTTTGACTCGTTATAGCACACCTGTAGTTCGACAGCGCACTCTTATTATCTAAACTTTCTACTTTTCATTAGCATTTAAACCTGAACAAGTGTAAAAGGAGTCTTACTTCGGTTATGCATTGCATACTACTAACTCTTGATGCCGAATTAGTTATGAATAGTTGTGTTATCCTGGCCAGTGAAATTTCGCTCAGGCATTTAACCTAGACTTAGCCCGGTGCTGTACGATCCCCCTTTTTTGAGCGTTTTTGACTTTGACCAGCCCAAATACTTCCCCTCCCCCTCTCCTGGCGACCGAATACGACCCCCCCCCCTTTTTTTGGGGATTCCCCAACAAAGATGTGCTCTGTGTGGATTTCTCAACGGCCGTATACGAACGAACTGGAACGGCTTTATACTCCTTACAGAAAGGTTAACTGAGGCTGCTGGTTCTCTACTCCTCTAGATACCTCTTTGCCTCTCTTCCGCCTGATTCTGTCAGCTACGTTATGGAAGCTCTTTTTTTGCCCTCAGATATTTACTGTACCCATCTGCTGGAAGGTATCTGCATCCGTGAAAGCGGTGGGAGAACTTCGAACAACAACGGTTCTTACAGGATTTTGGAAATTCCGCGCATTGTTCCGATGGCGAAAATGGGATTTTTATTCTTATTCCATTCCTCGAGGCGGAGG